GGGTAAACATGTAATACTGTAAAACATTTAGAACAACTTAAATGTCCACCATTAGAGAGCAGTTAAATAACATTGGTTAGATTACTTTCTATTGTTTACAAACTGCTTAGGATAAGAAAAGTAATATGTAGCCCCTTTTGAGGATGATTGAAAAAAAACCTTTTATAGTCTTCTGGCTAAAGGAATTTACCTGTGATAAGCATGAGGCAAAAGCTCAAATCTTGGGTTTTTTTTTTTCCTTTTATATTTTGAACTTAATGGCCTTCTGGGGCATACTCTATAGATATATACTGTGGATACCCCTTTAAATGACTGAACAACTAAGTGAAAAGAATTCTCTGATAAATTGTTTGTTGGGTACACACACCTATGGATCATTCAAAAGCCCCGTTCAAGTTCTGCTGATGGTCCCAATAATGTCCTTCTTTTTTTTTGTTTGTTTTTTTTCTCCAGTACCGGGAACCGAACTCACGACCTTGCGCTTGCCAGGCAAGCGCTTTTGCCGCTGAGCTAAATCCCCAGCCCCCAATAATGTCCTTCTTAATGAAATGTTCCCACACAGCAATATATGTTGCTGTTGGTTACCACATCTCCTCAGTTTCTTTTAATTCAGAACAATTTCATAGTCCTCTGACTTTCATGACTGTAGTGTTTATTAAATAATAGGAAAGTTATTTGGTAGAATATTCCTTCATTATGTGTAGTCTGTTACTTCCTTATAGAATCAGGTTCTACGTGGATATAAAAAAAATACTAAATTATAGCATATATCAAAGGCCACAGCATTTTAATTTGATGATACAACATTTGATAGTATACCTCAAAAAGTTGGATTTGGCTGGGTTATGTCATTGGAGCTATTCTTTTCCCTTTATAATGAATATATCTTTTATGCACAATACTTTGTGACTGTGTAAGTATTCTGTTTATTTTTTGACTTTTGTCAACAAGTTTTAGCATTCATTCTTTCTTTCCTGAATTATTCATTCTTTCTTTACTGTAATTATTGTCAAATGGTGATTTTTGATTTCCATTGTTTCTTCTACATTTAATAGCTGTCATGCTACTATAAAGAAGACCTTTTGCTTTTCCTTCTTTGTTTTCTTAAATATGCATCAACTCAATAGTATTTTCTTCAGTAATTTTAATCAGTTCTTATCACTATTTATTTTAATGCTCAAATAGTCCCAGATTTGTCTAGATTGAGACTGGTTTCTTTTTTTTTTTTTTTTTTTTTTTGGTTTTTCTCCGGTACCAGGAACCAAACTCATGACCTTGAGCTTGCCAGGCAGACGCTTTGCCGCTGAGCTAAATCCTCAGCCCCGAGACTGGTTTCTGTATCCTGACATGCCCCCTTCAATTTTTGAATACTTCATTACCTCCTGACATTAAATTCATTCTGATTTAAAAATAAAAGCAAATTGTGCTTTTTTTGCCACAGCCCTGAAGTCAGTCTTTTCTTCTAAGACTTCTTCAGTTAGTGGACAACAGGCTTTAGAGGTCTGAATGCTCAACCTTCTTACTGCTATTGGTCCACTGCTGCTTCCAGGATCTCTCAGTGAATGAAACTCTGACAGAACATAGAAACATCAATTTTCATTCTCTGTCTATCTATTATATGTGGGTTAATAACAGTACCTCCAGTTTGGTTCAAACACAGTCATCCCTCCTTTTTGTATTTAATATTCTCCTATTGGAGAGTAAGAGACCTAGTCTCGCAATCTTCCATGGATTTATTTATTTACTCACTCCACCCGTAGTCAACAAATTCTCTAGCCACTGGGCCACCATCCACTCATTTACTTTCTGGCTGTTTTTCTGGTTTGTGCATCACTAATGATTCTTAATAAAGATCATAAAATCTTAGAGATTTAAAATAACAATTATTCTGAGTGGCTCTGAAATGTAAGTGCTCTTTGTGTGATGGCTCAGCACTTCAGGCTGCTTTGACCTCATTGTTCACTCTATTTTAGAGTGGTACCATCTCAGGATAAGTCTCCAGGGATCACTGAAGTGGAGGATGAGGACATGAGATGAGCAGCTCTTAGTATTTCTTCTTGGAAGGGACACACATTACTATGCATCAGTAAAAGAAAGTCATACGATTGCTCATGATCTCAATGGGCCAAAGAAGAATAATTCTCCTGCTAGGAGAACAAAATACAACAAAAACATTTTTCTCCCAGATGCTAAGAAGAGCTAAAAACATGCAGACTCTTCAGACTCATCTGTTTGCACATATGTTAGACTCAAGCGGTAAGTCATAAAAATAACTGACTGGATGGGCCTTAGCCATGGAGATTCAGATGGATTGGCTTGGATGGCAGCTAGAAGCAGCAGTTTTAAAAGCTCTCCAGGTGACCTCATTGCAAAGCTAGGATTACAATCCCTGCCTCTGGTTCTGATGTCACTGCCCAGCCACTGTCTTCTAATCTGTGGTCACCTCCCCAAGGAAATCCTTCCAATGTTTAAGTCTAGGATGTGCTCCTATGCCCTTCTGTTCTTTGTTTTCCTTATTATTTACCATACAGTGCTACGTTTGCCTATAAGCTTTGCTGTATTTAACTGAAGGCTCTACAAAGATAAGTACAGGTCTTCATTTATGAATACCTAGCCCTTGACATTGTTGCCTAAGACATAGTAGGTGCTCATAATGGGTGTTGACTACAGTACTAAATTAATACATAGTAGAGGACTTAAAATTGTCTTTCATGTTGCTTCCTGTTCCAGTGTAAAGCTTAGAAGTACAGGTTTGGGATTAGGAAATCCTTATCTTTTGCTATTCTTTGTGAATAACTGCTATGGACCTCTTTCTAAAGGACCCTGACCTAACTAACTGCAAAATAAATATTTGTAAGACTGACGAAAAAACCAAGTAAAACATTTGATGCACATGTGATTATTTTAACATGTGAGGTTCTTTTACTAGGAGAATCAGAAGTGACTAATATATTTGCTTAATCATATTGTACCTGTATGCCTTTAGCTATGATGAGAAATAATAATAATGTTGAGCATATGGCCAAAAAAACCTTTTTGTCCTTTGAGGATTTCTTCTTAGCCTACCTAAGAATTGAGTAGAGGTAGAATAAGGATAGGTTTTGAATTAAGAAGTCTTGGAGTCAAATTGCTATTCCACAATCCTCTGAGAATCTGTGACTTGGTTCTTAATTTCCGCAGTTCTGGCATCTGTAGAATGGAGAGAGAGGAGGTCCCTCTCATCGCTGTTAGAAGGGGTGAGATACTGCATGTGACAGTGCTTTGGAAACTGGAAAGCTCTATGCAATGATTCTTGTCATTAGCTACCAACTGGAGCTACTGACGGGAGTCATACTAAGGGGAGTATCTAAAATGATTCTCTGCTTGGTGCAATCCTCAGCCTAGAATTTCTTCAGATTCTATCTATCCATTTATTATGCTTCATAGTTATTGGTTTCATGCCCCTCCCCCTCCCCGTCCATCTTCTATTGCCCAGGCTGTTCTTGAAATCCTGGGTTCAAGTGTTTCTCCTGCCACAGGCTCCCAAGGGGCTGGGACTATGGCACTTACCATCATGCCCAGCTCTTCCTTTCCATCCTGCATTTCTGTTTCTAAGTGAGTCTGGGCAATGGAACTCGAGCTGTGTTGAGGCAGTGACAGGAAAGAGACACCAGGCTGACTTGCTGAGCTCTCCGTCCTGTGCCAAGTGGAGAACAGGGAAGCAGGGAAGAGGACTGTCCCCAAGCACTTGCTCACTAATTTCAAATGTGCCATTTAATTTTAATGATTATTATAATACTTGAAAGCATATTTTATAAAATTAATGAAATCTGAGCAATATGAACCCTTTCCAGTTTGGCCCACCATACATCTTTGTTGCGAAATGCAGAAAGTGAAATTCTATGAGAATGCTTTGATGCAAGGGCCAAGGATGAAGGGATTACTGGGGATTTTTATGTGTTCTTCAAGTGACTTTCTATTTCAGGAGAAAATTCATACAAATTCCACTTCATAGAAGCAGGCAGAGTCATACCGCAGAAGTTCTTGTGACTTAGAAAGGAGGAGAATTTCTAATCTAAATCATACCAAGTTTTTAACTATTAAATACAAAATGAAAAGCATTTCGAAAGCAGAAACAATGGTTGTCGTTGAACTTTTAAAAACAGATGCAGACCTGTATATGAAAATATTAGTTGTGAGATTAATTTTGTATGATGACCTTTGTTCCCAAAGTTCCTGCTGAGCCTGGAGATGGACAGCAGTCTTTATCTGCTCATATGTCACAGAAGGCTGATTCTGCATGATGCTCTGTGATGAAAGGCTTCCAGATTAAACCAGTTGGTAAACCACACATACTCTCCTCTCCTCTTGCAGATTCATGGTGCAGATCTGCCTGGTAAAGCTCCAACCCCTCCGACAGCAAAGAGTTACATTTGTTAGCTGACATTTCCAAATTTCCTTGACTGTGGGATGGTCTTAATACAAGAATTGTGATCATGTCTATTAACCCTAAAAACACACTATTCTCTAGAATACCCATTGGGAAACTCTGAATTATGTCAGTTAAATATATTCACCTGCCCAGCCTATCTACAGAGTGTCTCCTTCTAGAATAGAATCACAATAAAAATTATGTAAATTTTAACATAAATCATAATGTGATTTAAATCAAGCCATATAGTTTTTGTAAGAGCTTAATTGAGATATAGATCACATATCATAAACTGAAGTGTATGAGTTCAGTGGTTTAGCATCTTTGGAGTTGTGCAAACATTACCACAGTCAACGTTAGAGCATTTACATCACCTCAGGAAAGAAGCCCTAGCCCCTTGGGCTGTCACTCCTCATCCCCTATCCCCCTAATCCAGCCCTCAGTAACCTCTAATCCATTTTCTGTCCCTCTAGGTTTGTCTGTTCTAGGAATTTCACATAAATGGCCTCATATAATATGTGGCTGGCTTTTTTCATTCAGCGTGATGTTTATCCATGTTGTAACATGTATCCGTCTTTCATCCATTTAGCTAAAGAGTTCTGAAGACCAACCGAAGACCAAGAAGACAGAGCAAAGGTGGAAGGAAAGCTGCTTCATTACACAGGACACCTCATTCCTTCTCAGGGCAAGTGGGGTCTCAGCCCTAATGAAAACTGCCCTGCCAGGGGAGGGGTGCCATATACTTTCCTTTCTCTTACATTGTCTCATGGCTTGTAATCCAGATCTTTTTACTCATACTAAATTTATCTGCTCTGCAAAGTCTGCTTTCTGAAAATTGTTGGTGGATCAACATGGACACCTGCCTTTGCTGTGTGGGACACAAGGCTTGCACCTGTTTCTCAAAATGAGTATCTGAAGTCTGAGATGGTGATGCTTGTTTCCTGCTTATTTTACAGACTTCAGGAGGGAATTTCCAGGGGGACTGCTTGGTGCTTCAGTTAAACATTCTAAAATAGAAAAATAGTCAGGAGAGGAAATGTTGCTTCTCTCCTGAGGCATCTGCTGGAATCACTAGAAGGACATTCAACTTTATAAGGTGTCTCAGCTATTTTCAATAATTAGCTCCTATGAGCTCTGGAACAGGGAAAAGACAGTTCTGAACGGAGCAGGTAAATCAGGGTCCAGCCAGAGTTTACCACCTAATCATACTCTTCCCAAGAACAGAAAAGAAAATAATGATTTTATTATTATAAACAAAGGTTGATTGCAGTTGCTTCTATTTTTCCAGGCCAAGACTTTCCCTTGTATTCCATTGTCTGCTACTTATTCATGACCATGGAGCATGATGTTACCTTTTTTTTTGTCTTTTTGAGACAGGGTCTTGCTGTACAGTTCAGGCTAGCTTGAGCTCACTTTGTAACCCAGGCTAGTCTTGAACTCACAACGATCCCCCTGCCTCAGCCTCCTGAGTGCTGGGATTTTAGGTGTGTGCCACCATGCCCAGTGTCACTTCTTTTAGGTTGCAGAATTCAAGGACTCCTGAAACAACTGTAGAGGTTTTAGAGGCTGGCCTGGCACTACCTCAGGAGATGCTCACATAGGTCTGATTGGTCACCGCCAGTGACATGGGTCTGTGCTCAGACTGGGTGACATGCACAATAATGTTGATTCTGAGCATTGGGGCCAGGGACTTATGATGCTTTTTTCACTCATGTATAAGCACCCACTGTTTCTAGACAATAGGGACACAGCATTTAAACAAAACAGTCCCTGTCCTCCTGGAATTTGTACTGTGGCTCAGATACTTCTAAGTCAGGATGTCTTGTGTTTTCCATGGATTCCATGAGATAATCAAGGACATCACAAGCTAATTCATTTCTGACCTGGGCTCCCATGAGAGACCCAAATGAGCAGGAAGAAGCACTTACATGCCATGTGTCAGTAGCTTCTCTGTACGCGTCACAGCCTCATCTCTATTCAGCTTCCTAACAGGCCTGCAAGTAGGGTTTCTCATGACCCCTGATGGAAGAAGTCAGGCGCAGCAAAGTTTGCAGAGAGCCAGAGCCAGGATTGACTCTAAGACTGTCTGACTCCAGACCGCATTCTCCTTCAGTGAATCAGTGCTACTATAAGACACTATGAAACTTTGGTGTTGACCCCAAATTCAAAGGATGCCAAAAGGAACACAAACAGGTGATAATCCAAACATAAGGACAGACTTTTGTAAGTCAGTGAGGATTAGCTTAATTTCCAAGTAATTAAAATTACAAACATAGAGGCTGAAGTATTAGCAGCATATTCATCTTTCCTGTAAAGGGTGGTATAAAATTCCTGTTGTTCTTTAGGTAGAGGCTCATCTTTCTGTTTCTTTTCTTTCATTGTCCAATATGTTTGTGACAGTTCCAAATATCACATCCTTGTACCAGATAGCAGGAAAAAGGAACAAAAAGGGTGTGACCCCTCCACTTGGGGAAGGTTTCTCAGGTGTTTGGCCTGATAATTCTACTTCCATCTCGTGGTCAGAACTTAATTACATAGCCAGCATAGCTTCCAGGGACAGTGAGAAATAAGTTTTTTTTTTTTTTTAATCTGGAGGGAAATGTGCCCAAATGTAAACTGAGGTTCCTAAAAAGTCTAGATGTTAGGAGCTAATTAACAGTTTTTGTTCTAATCTACTTTATATTTCTTTATTTTATGGTAGACTCTTAGCTATAGCTTATTAATGAATTGGTTTCATTTTTGCATTCATCCAGCAAACACTGGTTAATGCTTACTGTGTGCCAGGTATTGAATTAAGTGCTAGGGATACAGAGACTAATAAGACATAATGTGAACTAGACATCAGCTTTGGTCTGAATATATTTTGAGCATCCCTCAAAAGGGATTCATAGGTAAAGATTTGGTCTTCAGTATTGGGAGTTTTGGGGACTTAAGGGACGTCCTTAGGACACTGGGTGGAAGATTGCCCTCAAATGGAATTGTGGGACCCAGGTCTCTTCTTTCTTTGTCTGCTCTAATCTGAGATGTGACCTCCTGCTCTGACACACACTCCTGCCATTTCTATCTGTAACTCTCTTGAGAGGCCAAATTGGTGGGGATACCAATTTGTGGCTCGAATCTCCAAATCTCTGCACTAAATAAAGCCTTTTTCTTTATAAAGTTTGTTGCCTCAAGTATTTCACTGTAGTAATATAAATCTGGTTAATACAACATCATCATAATTTTTTAATGGATGGAGGATGATGTCTAAGGGATACAGGTGTTCTTTCACAATTCCAAATTTGATTTTGGTACTGTATACATAATTCTGTGAATACTATAAAAATGATTGGGTAGAACACTTAAAGGTGATCTGTTTGTATGGTATGCATGTTATATCACAATAAACTTACTTAAGAAAAGACTATGAAGGGCCCTGTACACCAGTGCTTACAAGCTTAGTGTCAGTGTGAACAATGCTGAGAGCAGTGGTTCTAAGTGTGATACTGGACCAGGAGCATCACTTCATCTAAGACCTTGCTAGAGATGCAGAGTCACAGCTGTTACTCCACATCTGCCCAATAGAAGCACTGAAGATGATTCCAATGCATGTTCAAATTTGAGATCCACTGGATAAGAATGTGGAAGGACTGGGGGAAAACACTTAGGATGTTATTGAGATGATCCAGGTCAGAAATGATGGGGAATAAGCATTAGTAGCTGGAAGTATGGTAACAAAAATTAAGAATAAGTGAAGAAATAAATGGGGAATTATCAGGTATCACTGGATTGGTCAGCTTTCTGTCACTGTGACAAACACCTGAGATAAATCAATTTAAAAGGAGGAAGGATTGATTCTGGCTCATGGTTTCAGAGATTTTGGTCCATGGTCAATTGGCCATGTTGCGTTGGGCGTGTGGCAGCAGAATGCATCATGGCAGGAGTGCATGGCAGAAAAAGGTTTGATTCATGGCAGTTGGGAAGCAAAGAGACAGACAGGATGAAGTTGGGATCCCAATAGAGGAAGCCTCAATCACCTAACTTCCTTCCATTAGTCTCCATCTTCTAAAGGTCCTCTAGTTTAATAGGTAGAAAAAAACCTAGTTTCCAAAAAGTTAAAAAAAAAATTTCAGCATGTGTGTCTTTGGTAGACACTTAACATCCAAATGATACAAAGTTCAAATATGTTTATCTGTTAAAGTCAAGACAAGAAGAAATGGCCTAAGTTAATGAAAAAGAACTTAAAGTATATTTCAGAGGTAACCTATGAAAGAACTAAAGTAATAATCACTAACATTTTGGAGAAGGGGAGAAAAAGAGTAAGAAACATGAATTAAACTCTGGTCCTTTTTTGGCAATCTCTTAAATGGCCTTGAATATTTTCAATGATAATATCTTACACTGATACATTTTTGAAGAAATTTATAAGGTATACATAAGGAAGAATTAAACCCAGAATTGATTAGAAGAGATTACCTCTGGTGAAGTGGTACAAATGGGCTTTCAATTATACATTCTTCTATAAAATGTTTATTAAAAGAAAACCCAACAAAATACTAGTGAGGCTGATTATATTTTCTATTAGTCTAATTAATCTGAACTCTCTTAAGACATCAACTATAATTTATGAATAAATCTAAAAATCCAAGAATTTTAATGCCACAGAATTAAAGTTAAGGAGGAAATTCACTTAACATTAGCATGAACAATGGTGTTCTCACAGTGTTATAGCTGATACCTTTTTCAGTGTGAGTTTGTACCTTGAAATTCAAGACTCACTAGCTGTATTTCTTGTCTATTTTTCAGTTGTTCCTGGCCTATCTTCCAAGAATACATTTATCTCAATAGATTTGCTTCACTTCGTCCACTCAAGTCAATAACAACATGATAAATTCTTTGCATTCTTATTCTTCACAGAGACTAGCAGACACATTCCAGTTAGGCTCTCAGTCCATCATTCTCCAAAATCCATCCTTCTAGGCCCTGATGACCTTTGTGTTTCCAGACTCAAAGGTCAAATTGTGGTGCCACCTTATGTCACCTATCAAACTCAGTTTATTATTTATTTATTCACTATCTTCACTTGAATTTCACAATCTAGATTAATAAGCTTTCTTGATTGCTTCTCTTCAGTATTTCAGGCTTCTTAATATGAGCACGTCTCAGAGATCAGTCTGAGGAGCACCTTTCCTTTCTGGCTTCAATCACCCACCGTTCCCTAAACCATCTCATCCAAGTCTCTTGGCCAGTGCCATCTATATGCTGGTCTTACACAATTTTACATATGTCCAGTCCTTCCTTCTCAACCTGTACTGCAGTTGCACATTTGGAGCCATTACTTGGGGGAGGAAGCACGCCCCCAAATGTGGCAAGTTCTGAAACACTCCTGCCAACCCTGACTCTTTTGCAGGACTTCCCCATTCAATAACTGGAAATGCCCTTCTTCCAGTTGCCCAGACCAAAGCATATGGACTCTTCCTTTGTTCTTCTCTCCCTCTTATACCCTAGCTGCAATCCATCAGCAGTACTCCAGCTCTCTCATCTGGTCAGAAGATGAATACTTCCCAAGTGCTCTATTATCATAACTTTGGGCCAAGCAGCTGCCATCATTTCTGCCTGGATTAGTGCAGGTCTCCCCCATGTCAACCTTGTACCATTACAATTAATTCTTCTCTTAGCAACCAGAAGCCTCTTAAAGGATATATCAGATCATGTCCCTCCTCTGTTTAAAGCCACCAGTGATTCTTTTCTCACTCAGCAAAAATTTCCAAGGTCCTTACATTTTCCCTGAGATATAAACTTATCTAATAAATAGTATCATTTCTCTTTATGCAGTCAGT